ACTTTGGGCTCAAGCAATCCTCCTGTCTCAGCCTCCCAACTAGCTGGGACTATAGGCGAGTGGCACCATGCCCAGCTAATTTTCTCTATTTTTAGTAGAGACAGGGTCTCCCTCTTGCTCAGGCTGGTCTTGAACTCCTGAGTTCATTCGATCTCCCGTGACAACCTCCCACAGTGCTGGGATTACAGGTGTGAGCCACTGCACCCGGCCCATCACATAAACCTTTAACAAAGAGACAGCCCAGAATGGAGGTAGAAGAGCATCCAACAGTGCTGGAAAGAGGAAAAAAGAAGGGTCTATGGTTGTTTTTTTTTTTTTAAATAATCCAAAGACTCTGTACATTCAATATGAGTGACAAACATGACAGTGACAAACACTTGACATCATTCTATTTGTATAAGAACTGAACTAAAAGTTATATTCACAAGGCCAGGCATGTTACTTACTATATTAAGGATTTACCCACAGTATCAAGAATTTTTGTCAGACTATTTTTAAGCCTTAATATTAAAAACTGATTCATAATTATATTCTGAAACTTAATTTCATTCATAGCTATAATTTTATTATGTTTGAAAAATCTCAAAGGATATAAACCAAAATATTAATACTGGTGAAATAACTGGTGATTTTTATTTATTTACCTTTTGGTCTTTTATTTATTTTGCAATAAGCATGTAATCTTTTATATTCCAATTTTCATTTTTGGGGAGAGGCACTGGATTTGATAAAAATACATACTTCCACACTTCTAGGCAGGAGTATACATATACTATTTCTGGAGTTCCTCACCTTGAATTTTACTGTCACCCTCTCTCAAATGATTTCCTTCTAGGTAAATTATATCAAACATTAACAGCAATCAAGCTCAACTGCTTCAATCCAGGATCCAAACCATAACTGAAGTTAAATCAAATTAAAAACAATCAAACCCAAACTGGACTGCTGCTATTTATCAAATAATAATAGGAAATCAAAAATTATCAAAAATAATAGGACTTTTTGTTTTTGAGTAAAGGAGCCATTACCAATAGCGAATGACTAACAACACTAGGCTGATTATGTTTTATATATAAAGTACCAAATAGTTACATCGAGAGGTGTTTGGAACTGGGATTCAAAAATCTGAATCCTTCCAAGCTGAGTCTCATCTGTCCAGCCAAGGAACCTCAGTTGTGTTGTTTTGTTTTTAAGAGACAGGGTGTCACTCTGCCATCCAGGCTGGAGCGCAGTGGTCCGATCATAGCTCACTATAACCTCAACCTCCTGGCCTCAAGTGATTCTCCTGCCTCAGCCTCCCATGTAGCTGGGACTACAAGTGCATGCCATGCCCAGCTAATTTTTTTTTCTTTCTTTTTTTTTTTTTTTTAGAGACAGGGTCTCACTAAGTTGCCTAGGCTGGTCTTGAACTCTTAGCCTCAATTGATCCTCCTGCCTCGGCTTCCCAATTGCTGGGACTACAGGCATGAGCCACTGCATCTGGCCCATGAATCTCAGCTTTAAGAACGACTCAACTCCTCACAACATCTCAGATCTGGACATGGACAGGTGGGAAAGGACAGGGAACAGATTCAGGACAAATGGGGCTTTTTTTTTTTTTTTTA